ACACGATGGAATAAATCTAGTTATGAAAATGTTTATGAATATTTACACGAAATTCATAATCGATTAGAGATTCTAGCAAATTTCAACGTCAAATCTGAATATTCTCAAACAATGAAAAGTTCTGCAAATTTCGAAATTAGATAAACAAAAGTAGAAATGTGCTGAATTTTAGGTGAAGGTTTCCACAAAATTCACATTTTGCTTGAAACTTGGAAAATTACAAGTCTCACTATTTCATAAAAATTTTGCAATTTAGAAATTGGATAATGTATAAAACTTATAAAGTTTTTTTTGCCGATTGTAAACTCACAAAGAAGATGCACCAATGAATCTAATGTGTTTAATTGGACGTCAAAATTTACTCAAATTCGCATTTGACTAGAAACTCATATTCTCATAGCTAGGACGTCGCCCAATGTCAAGTCTCAATTTTCCCTAAGAAATGAAAAATTCAGAAATTTGGAAATTATATAACATCCAAAATTCAACTTTCAAGGGCTTTCATGGAACAAAAGTTTCATTTTAAATTTGGAGATTCTTAAAGAACGATCATATGAAATTCACACTTGATTAGAAAGTTTGCCAACTTCAACAAGGTCCAATATTTCCTGAAAAGTTTAAAATTCTACAATTTCGAAATTAGCTTACATGCAAAGGTATAAACGTAAAGTTTCAGGATGGATTATTGGAATCGTAACAAGTGGAGCATTCATCCAAGTATTGAATTTAAAGTGTAAATTTACCAAAAATTCACATTTTGCTAGGAACTTAAAAATCTCAATATTCCCTAAAAAACGAAAAATTCGGAAAATTCCTAGTTAAATAAAGCGTAAAATTAAAAACGTGTAAATTTTATAAGCCGATTCTAATCTCGCAGATGCGTGCATACATGTTCACATTCATTCATTTAATGATGAATGAATAAATTATTCATTCAATATTCAAAACTTGAATGGATATTGAATGAATATATTATTCTGATTTTTTAATAAATGAATATTGAATGAATATCTATTCAATTCGTGTAAATGAATAATGAATGAATATTTTTTTCATCATTCATTTTTTGCTTAATACATAGGGAAAGTTGAGAAATTCATCTAATGCTGTGAATTTTGAATAAAATGAATAATGAAGGAATGGTGAACAATAAATAAATGTTGAATAATTAATGAATATTTTTTTTTACAAAGTATGAATGAATATTTTTTTCAAGGCTTTGAATGAATGAACTTTGAATCAATAAATAGTTTTTGAACATTTGTGATCCATTGTCAATGAAAGTTACACATACATAAGTAATTCTAATGAGTGATAAAAGTCTCAACTTGCCTCGTGCTTATCGTGCTTGTGAGACAACAGATAAGCAAATTCATATTCCAAAGCTCTTGAAGATTGTATTTCACCATAAAATAATATGGCTTCGAATCATCTAAGTATTGAAGTAATAAATTAAAATTTGTACAGAATTCACATTAGGCTAGGAACTTGAACAATTTCAACTCTCAGTATTCCCAAAAAAATGAAAAATGACATAATTTCGAAATTCGATGCTCCATAAAAATATGAATTTATGGACGATTTGAGCTTTACTACGAAGAACGTCGAACATTTAAATGTAATTTCGTAGCCGATATTTATACGAAATTAGAAACTTGTGCAAATTTCAATTTCAAGGCTCAATATTCCAAGCAAAAAATTAAAAATTCAGCAATTTCGAACAATATTTTTCTAATAAGAGCTCTACAATTTTGAAATTGGATAATGTAAAATTAAAAACATGAGGATTTTATGAACTTTCCAAGAAATCAAATATCAAATGTGTTACGAACAAGGGAAAAGTTGCGCAAGATTCGCATTTCGACAATGTCAATATTTTCCCAAAAAAACTAATTGTAAAAATTGGTAGTGAAAATTACGCGAAATTCCTACAAGAAAAGGAACTTTAATAGTTTCAATATTCCCCAAAAATGAAAAATTCCATAATTTCGAAATTGGATAATGTGCAAAAATAAAAATTTGTCAGTTTTATAGACTGATGAGCAAATCAGGGACTCATCTGAATGCGTTTAATTAGAGGTGAAATTTGAAGCAGAATTTCTATTCGACTACGAACTTGAACAATATTCGTTCAATATTCCACAAAAACTAAAATTTCTACAATTTCGTAAAAATCAAAAGGTGCGAATTTTGTAGACGGATTGTAGTCTGGCAGGAGGGATGCACAAATTGACTCCGGTTCCGGTTCGGTTACGAACAAAAAGAACCGGTAGGTTCCGTTTCGGTTCGGTCAGAACCGAGAACCGTTGAGGCCACTAGGTTTTGGCAAACAAATACATCAATCCGGACTAGTGTGGCAGAAAGGGATCAACAATCTTAACAATTTAATTTGAAGTGAACATTTCTTAAAAATGAGAAGTTCTGAAATTTTGAAATTGAGCAACATATAAAATAAAAAATATGTACTTTATGGGCGAGTTGAGCTTTACCATGAAGAACGATGATCATCAAATTGTGGAAACTTGTAGTGAAAATTTTCCCAAAATTCATATTGGACAAGAAATTTTAAAAATTTAAATAGTCCCAAAATATGAAAAATTCTAGAAATTCAAAAGAGGAATTTGGAAAGGTAAAAACGTGTCAATTTTATAAGCGGATTTTTCTCTCGCATGATTGCCGAAAAAAGATCTGTGCGTATTGAATTTTAAGTGAATATTTCCACAAAATTTCCATTTGGCTACGAACTTGAACAATTAAAAATTCTACAATCTACAAAATTTCCATTTGGCTACGAACTTGAACAATTAAAAATTCTACAATCTACAAAATTTCCATTTGGCTACGAACTTGAACAATTAAAAATTCTACAATCTACAAAATTTCCATTTGGCTACGAACTTGAACAATTAAAAATTCTACAATGACGAAACTGGTTAACGCGCAAAAGTAGAAAGTGTGAATTTTATGGGGGAATTGTAATTTCTTTATCATATTTCTCATACTTGAATAGATGCCAATTTCAATATTTCCCAAAAAGTTTAGAATTTCGCAAAAATAAAAAAGTGCGAAGGTTATAGGTGGCTAGAAGCTTAAACAATTGCAAGTCTCACTATTCCCAAAAAGTGAAGAAAAGCTACAATTTCGAAATTAGATAAAGTACAAAAATATATATTTTGTGGACGCGATAAGCTTCACCACGAAGAACAATGATGATCAAATTGTGGAAATTTGAATACGAAATTCATATTTGGCTAGAAAATTTAACAACTTCAATATTTGCTAAATTCTACAATTTCGAAATTATATAACTTGCAAGAGTAAATAAAAACGTGTTAGTTTTATGGGAATATTGAAATCGCCTGCATTTAGCAGTTATCCATCTGCATAAATGCGTTTAATTTAAGGTGATAATTTATGTAAAATTCTTATTGGAAATGTTCTCCAAAAATGAAAAATTGTACAAATTCTAAATTAATATTAATATTTATTCAATATCTATAAATAGATATTGTAAAACTGTAAGTAAAACCTTTTGAAGTTTATTGGCAGATTGCAATTCATCACGACGCGATTATAGCTTCCAGAACAGAATACCTAAATGTTCTAATTAAAAATTAAAATTTTCTCAAAATTCTTATTGGACTAGGAACTTTAACAATTTCAATATTTCCAAAAAACTAAAAAAAATGTCCTATTTAAAAATTAAAATTTTCCCAAAATTCATATTGTACTAAAAAGTTAAAAATTCTGCATTTTCGAAATTAGACAACATCTAAAATTTAAAAACGTGTGAATTTTGTAGGCATACTGTAGTCTCGCAGAAAGTAAGGTAACCATTTAAGTACGTTTAATTTACAGTGAAAATTTGCACAAATTCACATTTGGCTAGGAACTTGAACAATTTTCCATAACAAGTGAAAAAAATCTGAAATTTCGAAATCAGATACCGTGCAAAAGTAAACCCCTGTGCATTTTGTGGGCAGATTGTAATCTTAGCCATCTAAATGTGTTGAATTTCAAGTGAAACTTTCCACACAACTCACATTTGGCTAGGAACTGACAATGCAAGTCTTTTACGTGTACAAGTCAGATCTTGTTGGGACCAATTTTATTTTGTTCACCACAAAAAATAAGCATACCCGTATTTTTTCATTTTTCATAATGCGCTAATTTGAGCGCGTGGCGCGAATTTTAAAACGTTTGTCAGCCAAAACCTCGGTTTTTAAAAATTCTGTAAATTTTCGAATTTTAGCGCGAATCTAAAAATTCGAAAACATGTCTCTTCAGAATGACTTACCTGACTTACGAAAAATCCAATTGTCTCGAAATTTGAATTTCAAAATTTTTTGCCAGTTTTTGAAATTCATTAAAATTATAAATTCTTTCAAATTTTTAATTTTTCAAAAAATAATGCATTTGGATTTTTTGTAAGTCAAGTTAGTCATTCTGAAGAGACATGTTTACGAATTTTTGGATTCGCGCTAAAATTCGAAAATTTACAGAATTTTAAAAAACCGAGGTTTTGGCTGAAAAACGTTTTAAAATTCGCGCCACGCGCTCAAATTAGCGCATTATGAAAAATGAAAAAATATGGGTATGCTTATTTTTTGTGGTGAACAAAATAAAATTGGTCCCAACCAGATCTGAGTTGTACACGTAAAAGACTTGCATTGTGAGCAAAAATTTCATTATTCCCAAACAATGAAGAAAAGATAATGAACAAAACAGCGTTCTAAGTACTTGTAGTATCTTTAAATCGAATTTAAGGCCTTTTTTAAAAAATATTTACATTTTTGACGTAAGACTGATACATTTCCAACTCAATATATGTATGTTTGAAATTGGAAATTCAAGTTTCCACTTCCCCAGCCAATACGAGACCAAAGGATCATGCATTTGGGTAGAATTAACAGATCGTAGGATGGATGACCTTTTGTTTTGAAGTGATTTCTTATATTATAACTCTATGAGTGATTTATTATCAAGCTTTCAGAATTCAGCTGTCCCCTTCTTCTTCTGGCGTTAAAGTGTGCCGGTTAAAATAATTGGGATAATACATAATTTCATATAGTTGCATTTTATCTGTAATTTTCAATTTCTCTGCAATGGGATCAAGTAAAAATGTGGTAAGATTGTTAAAACAATTTTGATTGAACGCACTGAAATATTCGTAATAAACAATTGGAACATGATCTATTCTTAATTTACAGTTTTCTTTGAAAGGCTTTTTAAGAATGAGTCGGGCAAGAAAGGATGCTGGAGAGACCCTTGGTAAGAGGAATTACTTATCATGCATTGCTAAATTATTAATTAAAATTAATTGTGTATAGTTAATTAATCAAAATTATACACAAATAAAAAGAACTTGCCTTCTTCTTAAGGTTCCAACGTGGACACTGCGATTTCCCTGATAAGTTCAATAACGAGAGAGATTCAAAGAATTGAGAGAAATATGATTGAAGGTAGATTGAAGGTAATGTGATAACATGAATGATGGTTTATCTATTTTCGCAATTCGTATCATTAGACAATTTGTGCAAAAAATTTTGCCCTGAAAGTTCACTTGCGAACTTGCGCATGTCCAAGAAGGAATACCTGTTCACTTTCATTCATTTGACTGAATGACAGTGAATGGAATGAATTTCCCCTGTCATTTGAAATGACGGAAGGATTCCATCATTTCAGATGAATAACTGTAAATGAAAGGATTTTTCACTGCTTTTATTTTTCACCCTATTCTTAATACGTGGGGTGAATTAAGAAATGAAGTGAAATGAATTGAATTTGAATGAAAATAACTGAATGTGAATGAAGAGCTTAAGTCGAAAATTGGGACGACTAACTTTTGAATGAAACAAATTTTTGTGAACAGGTACATATGTTCCAAGGGTAGTATTTATGTAGTTTGCAAAATATTTTTCAAAATTATGTTGTGATGCGAATTCGCAAATATGAATATCCCCATTATTTAAAACCGAATTATTCATAGATGATCCAAATTCTTCCCCCGGAGACAGTGAAGGTAATTGATTAACTGACAGGGACGGGTAAACTATTTCGTCAAAATCCAGTATTTCTTCGCAGAGTTTAGCAATATGCACAACAGTGATAGAAAATCTACGTTTTTGTGAAGAAATTAACATTTCATCGCGGGCAGAATACTTTATTTTCCAAAAATCATGAAACCAATGCAGTTTGACAGCGATAAAAGGTTAATTTATCCAAAAAGTCTTGTAATTTCGTACGACTGCTGTGGTATTATCCATGTGGATTCTCGTCCTTTTGTGGGTGTAACCAGTGGCCGCGGAAGCCGTGGGGACATTAACATTGTATGATAGGGGAGGAGTGGTTTACATAACATGGGCTTATGATGGGAACATCGAATTTACATACGTGGGGACATTGCCCCTCTGTCAGCACGCTTCCGCGGCCACTGCTTGCTGCTACTGCCCCCGAAATGTAAACCATTGGAGGAAGAATGGAGCTCGAAGTACTGTATTTTCATAAAGTATTTTATCCATCATGTTGCTTATCACCTCAATATTTTTTAAATGATAATGATGGTTATCAACCGAGTATTTAATACCGCCTATCAATTTTTAGAGGTCAACCGAGAGCTGGTCACTCTTGTCACTGGATTGAAAAACGTCGTAAACAAGGCACGACCAGGAGCATATCCGAAAATTCAATAAATTGATTGAGAATCACTTGCAAATGATAACGGATCCGATAAATTTATCGAAATTTCTTATTAACAGTTGAATCAATTTGAGTTTTAATTGAGCTTCTTTTTATACACTTGGTCTAAATTTTTGTATGTTGAAAAACGTTACTAAATCGTTTAATTCATTAGTATGCAAGGGAAATAAATTTGAGATTTTAATCATGTATTAAATAAGATTCAACAAAGCTACATATTATTTAATTGCATAATTAATAACGATAACAGTGTAGAAGTTGCTAAAATATTGTATTATCATACATTAATTGCATAAAAATTGTATAAAAATTGCATAATAATTGCATAATAATTGCATAAAAACTGCATAATAACTACATAAAACTTCAGTAAAAATTGCATAATAATTGCGTACCAATTGAATAAAAATTGCATTGATTAAGGAAGCACATGATTGATCTTATTAATCAATTTCAAAACCATTTTTATATACACACTTATTTCTGACGTTGAGTTGATACATTCTCAAATCCAGAAATATTTAGTAGCGTTCATCAAATATGGAATTGAAAAATTTCGAAAATAAATCATAAAATTTAACCAGATTCAGATGGGGTGTCCTCCCAAAGCAAAATTGGCACTCTCAGCAGAAAATCAAAATTGCGTAAAAATTACATTCATTTCTAAATCATGACGGTAATTTTTTAAGTAATCGATCTTTTAACTAACTTTTCATCCTGTTTTGCCTGCACAAACATTTTTGACGTTGAGCTGATGCATTTCAAAGTTGAGAAATATTAAATAACAAGTATTTAATTAATTGCACTTTAAAAAGTTTGTAAAATGGATCGTAAGACTGGACCAGATTCGGATGCGGTGTCTTCCAAAAAAAAAACTTTTATTATGTTTTACCACAATAAATTTAAAATTTTGCATCAAAATCAAAATCAAAAATAAAAATTTCATAAAACTTGCGTAGAACTTTGATTGAACAAACGAAAAAATGTGATCTTCTAACCACTTTTTTACGTACGCGCACATTTTGGACGTCGAACTGATACATACATTTAAAAATAAATCCAGAAATATTTAGCAGCATGCATACCTGTTCACTTTCATTCATTTTACTGATTATGAGTGTGTCAATGAAAATGAATTTCCTGTCATTTGAATGAAAATTAATGAAAGATTCTGTCATTTCAGATGAATGACTGTGAATGATAGAATTTCTTACTCTTTTAATTTTTCACCCTATGCTTAATACATGGGGCGAAGTAAGAATGAAGTCGGATGAAGTAAAATGAAATGAATTTGAATGAAAATGACGGAATGAACGTGAATGATAATCTTTAGTAAGAAATCTAGATGACTGAACTTTGAATGACAACAGTTTTTTTGAACAGGTATCATACAATTATGAGTATGGTATCTTTTAATCAATTTGATAACCTTTTTTTACAGACATACATATTTTTGACGTTGAACTGATACATTTCAAAATCGAGAAATTTTTAGCTGTGTGGGCATTCAAATTTGGTAAATGGACCGTAAAACTTCAACCGCATGTGGATTATTAATTTGTCCTTCTCACCTAATTCTATTACATACATATCCGAGCAGAAAAAGAAAATTATTGCGTTTTATTATTACTAAATTATGAATTATTATGAATTTAATTAACTTAAATTAAACTAAATTTTAACTTATTGTTTTTATGTAAATTATATAATGTTCCGTTTCAATACGATACGATGAGAATGTTAATTTTTTAACTGCTAAACTATTTTGTTACTATTTTTGATTACTAATAAACAACTGTATGTACTCCCAGTGGCCGCGGAAGCCGTGGGGACATTAACATTGTAGGATAGAAGAGAGAGGGGATTATGATACAAACCAGACCAAGAGTACTACAAAGCTCTTTTCCATATTTAGCGTGAGGCAGAGTGAGATTCGGGTTCTGGTGGGTATCCGCGATTATCGCGCGTCAGTGCCGTATCCGTCTCACTTTGCCGCGCTCACACAATCATGCGTCTTATTTAATTAAGTATACTGGGTTATCTAAATGTTGTCTTATTAAAATACAAAAAAACTTAAATGTTGGTATATCATTAGCCCTCGTTTGTTACGGCACTTGCCGTATAAGTCACTCCCACAGACACTTTGACCCCAAAAATCTCATGGTCCCAGGCATTTCTCGTCGGGCAACAAAAGCTGAAAATGTAGCCCTTCATAAGGAGAAAATTCTGGCATCAGGTTGTCAGACTGAAAATGGCTGGGACCATGACTTTTTTAAGGATTTATGTGTATGCAAAAAAACCGCCGATTTTCGAATTTTGAAACTCTTGATGCATCAGAATGTTCGTATTCCAGGGGGAAGTCAAATTGCAAATGCAACTTGGGGTCTTATTCTTTTTGTGCCGAGTGTACATTGACTTTCTCATTTTTCACGATTTCCTTTAACAATTTTTGAAGGGGGGGTGGTTGCATATAATTCGAAAAGACCTATGGTATATTGATGTTTCTACCCGAAAATAAATTTTGGATTTTTTCTGGGAAATTCGGTGAAATCGACGCGAAAAGAGCTTGTACTTTTGGCTCATTTTGTACCTTATATAACATGGCCGGATGGTGAGGATATCGGATAACCGTGGGGACATTGTCCCTCTGTCCTCACCCTTCCGCTGTGTATTCCCAAATCATTTTAGAAGGAAGAAAAATATATTAACTGGGCAAATTCTAAAGTACAAATTTTAAATCACATTATACAATTCATCAAAAGGCAGAAGATCGATTTATGTATTGGTAAAAAAAATGTTCCAAAAACAACTCAGAATATCAATCGAAAATCTTATGGTTAATTTATGATTAAATTTTACGTACAACTATATTTTTGGCGCCGCCCTGCTTCATTTTTTTCCACTGGTTTCATTTTAGTGCGTATTAGAACCTAGAAATATATTAATGTTTCATTGAATGGGGGGGTTTGGATTAAAATTTGTGTTTCTCAACTTCCCCTGTATTCAAAATTTGAATTTCAAATGATAGGAAATTCATATTCATTCAAATGATAGGAAATTCATTTTCTTTCAAATGATAGGAAATTCATTTTCATTCAAATGATAGGAAATTCATTTTCATTCAAATGATAGGAAATTCATTTTCATTCACTATCATTCGGTATCATAATAAGTCAAATGAATGAAAGTGAACAGATATGCTACAAATACTTTTTTCCGGAATTTTGCTTCGAATTTATTCCCTAAAACTCACATCTCAAATTGCATTTCCATAGCCCATCTGTAACTCAAGTTAGGGTTAAACTTTACCCAAAAATACAATTTGGGCCGTGTCCTCCTTCATTTTTTCCACTCTGGTAACCTTTCATAATTGAATTTGGTTTTGGAGTGAAAGTTTCAAAAAAATTTAGTTTTGTGATCAAAAAGGTTCCAGAAATTTTCACATTATTTTACACGGAACAAATTCTCCACTCTGAGAAACGAACTCGGAAAAATATGCAGTTTTTTATCACTTTTTTACTCAAATTTTAAAAATTTCAAATTCAATTTATTTCTTAGTATATTAAACATGAAACTTTCCTTTTATAAAGATTGTATTTTTTTAGCTAGAAATGGATTTTTGAGCGAATTTTGACTCCATTCCCAAATTATTAGTTCAAATGGACTAATTTTTGAGCGTCCATTCCCAAATCGAGCCACATTTCAATGGATATTAAAAGATTAGATTAATACAAAAAAATCACCTCTTATGACGAACCTGGATTTTT